AGGTTCATGTGGGAAATATTTGCAGGTCATCCACCATTTGATGATAGAGCTCACAACCATCGTTTGATTTTTGATATATGTGCAGAATCCATCAAAAAGACCAACTAGTGAAGAGCTTTGTATATTTGCTAGAGATAAAATTTATGAAAATAATAATGGCAATAGTAATAATACTACTAGTAGTGATGGTAGTAGTGCTTCACAACAAGCATACGAATCACATCCAGATGCATATCATAAAAGTAGAATATTAGATGAAGAGATTGCTAAATCAAAAAGCTTAAAAATTTATACAAGTAATGATAGTTCATTGGATAGTCTTGATTTTAGCTCTTTTCTCTTAAATGCTGAAGGTAAATAAAAACTCCGTTATTAATTAATTAATTGGAACTTACTATCCATTAATCATTACTGACAACATTTTTTAATTCTAACAATTAAAAGAAAGAATCGATGAATGACCAATTTAATCTCCTAAATTATTCGTTATAATTATTCGTCTTTTTATTTTATCTTTATTTTTATTTCTTAAAGCTAAATTATTTTGGAATAATAAACTTTTCACAGTTTTTTGATTCTTGTTAAATGGTGCTATCATTTCAGTTAATTATTTAACAAGTTTGGCTACTCTTGTCACTGATTGATGATTTTATCTACCTCGATCATGTATCACCATTCTTAATATTAATATAAGAGGTGTTCGGGTTTAGTAGTAAATGAGAGATTGGGATACAAAAAAAAATATAAAAAAAAGATCTTGGAATACACATTTATAAGTTTTTTTGTGAGTTAGCAATTTCACTTGCGTCATTTTCGACTTAATGGCAGCGAATAGTTTTACAACTTTGGTAACATTTCGTCAAACAACATTACATGTTTGCGCAAACACCCCACCATCATCTGTTCTATTATCCCTGGCGTTAGGTTCAATCAATAAATGTAAACCAAAAGATCTGGCATGGTTCTAGAGTATTTTTCTTAAATTTAAATGACCTCCGCCACCTAACTGGAATGAATACCTCGGATTTGTATTAAGATTGTATAACAAATGCCAATTTTGTAAGAACTAAAATCAATTGGCATTTAAGAGTCAAGACGTGTGATAAATGTTTTAATGCAAGAACTGTAGTCATAAAGTAAATAAATAAATAAAAATGTATATATATATTTATATATGTATTTTTTTTTTTATATTTGTAATCACGTTGATAATGATGTAAAATTTTAGAAAGGAAGCAGTTGAACAAATTCCTTCATTTTTTAGGTTACCTCGTACTAATGTTGTTAGAAAGACAAACCGGTCTATGAGTATTAGGAAAGAGATGTCGTTGAAAATTTAAAAAATTTGGTGAATATGGACATGAATATTTTAATGACCCAACAACATCAAAAAAAAGAATAGATTGAAGAACGAACACTTATCTGTATGCAATTCTAGAAACAGTGAATTTCATTTAGCAAGTTATGAAAAATCTGTTAAAGAATTAAATCAGCTTGTGGACCCAATTATTGACAAGGAACGAACAGATACTAGACATGATTTAAATCGAGAGCTTTATTTTATTTTGCCAAAATGAGAGGACGGCCTCCAAAAAAATATTGGAACAAAATTGCGGCTGAGTTTACCATTGGAGCAAAAAAAAATCCAGCAAGACGAAGAATTATGCTTGACAAACTATTGAGAATGTGGTCACTTATAGGCAGCAATGCTAAACTTGCGGACATATATCTTGAAGAAATTGATAATTCTCTTAGAATAGATCTCTTCGCAATATTAGAACCATGTCCCAACTATAAATATCCACCTTTATCAGCGAAAGATTTCTTAGTTTGACTCCGATTCCACGATTATTTGAAGAAACAAACCAACTTGACCCTTTCCTGAAGGAAATATTGTATCAATAAAATCAGCATTAGCTATGGGAATCAAGGCACTTATTTTTAGATGCGTGTCATCACTATGCCAAACTGATAATTTTTATACAGCCAAATCTATAAAGGAACATCTTAACAGCTACAAAAATAATATTATCCTTGAAAAAAAGCTTGAACATGAAAAGGTTTGAGTGCAAATAAATAAATCTACTAATTTGTTTACAAACCCTGTCGAATGCAATAAGACAAGAACAAAAGATAAGCCAGATGATAAAGTAGAAATTGAATTGAACAAAATACACAATGGATTTGAAAGAATCCAAATAGTTTGAATTTATATTTTTATTATTTTTATCGATAGTTTTTTTCTTATTTTCAAAAAAAAAAAAAATCAAGTTTATAACATGAAAAAAAGATTTTAAAGTTGAACTGAATTTTTTATATAATAAGATCTTATCAAATTATGGTTTCTTTGATTTTAATTTCCTTTTAAAATATTGAATCTTATTCATATCTTTGTTTTTCCAAAAGATCTAGTTTTTTTTTAAAATCACTAATAGTAGAATAAAAAATAACTAATTATTATTTATTTAGGAGAATTGATTGTTTCGAAACATATCTTTCCAAGTGCGCTCTACTTTATTGAAGGTCGAGAGTCTTTAATTACCTACCGATAATAATAAGATAGTAAAAAAATAAAATGAACGGTTTAGAAGATTTAAACGAAACTATTATTGTGGCTTTACGACCTCTTTCCTGCGCATTAGAATAGGTTGATTGGCATAATTAGGTGATGATTGTCAAATATGATAATTTTCTCAGATTTTGACTCGGGGACTTAATTCAACTTTAGGGTCCTTCTTATTATTGAAAGACAGACCCCATATATTTAGATCAAAAAAATTTTTATTGTAAAAAAAAAAATTGAATTTCTTCACCTTTATTCATTAATAATTAATTGATTGAATTCTCCAAAAAATGGTAGGTCACTTGCAACGCAATTTGCAAAACAAGTTAACTGCTTTGTTTAATTATTAAATTAATATTTGTTCTAATCTATTAATTCCTTATTAATTAATTAATTAATTAATTATTTATTTATTTATAGGCCAAGAGAACAAAAAAGGTATTGTTAACATTGACATTATTTTGAATTCATTGATATTATTATTTTCTTAATATTTTGTGATTTGTTTAATAAATTTGATCAAGTTATCATCTTCTGAATTTTATTTCTGTAGGTTGGAATTGTTGGTAAATATGGAACTAGATATGGTGCATCACTAAGAAAACAAATTAAAAAAATGGAAATAACCCAACACGCAAAATATACTTGTGCTTTTTGTGGAAAGGTACTCTCAATCAATCAAACCAACAATATGATTAATTTAACTAATATGTCTACTATTCATTAATATTATCATTTTGTAGGACACAGTGAAAAGAAAAGCAGTAGGAATTTGGAATTGTAGTGCGTGTAAAAAAGTATTAGCAGGTGGGGCATGGACTGTATCAACAACAACTGCTGCTACTGTTCGTTCTACTGTTCGTCGTCTTCGTGAATTGATGGAATCTTAAATCGTATATAAATATATATATATATTATATTATTATTATTATATATTGTTTTTATTAAAAATATTAAGAGAGATGAATGTAATAAATAATATTTAATTTTTATTGCAAATCATTATAACTAGTATGGATACACTTTTAGATACATTATCAGTAGTCAATAAAATAGTAATGTTATAAAAATGTCAATTAACTATTTACTAATTTATCGATGATAAGAAATCAGTTAGGCTAAATTGATTCATAGAAATATCATCATTATTTCTTTTTTCTTGTTCTAATAATTTTTGAAGTTGTATTTTTTGTTTCTTTTTCTTGGATTTACTGCTACTGCTACTGCTACTGCTACTACGATTAATATTGTTATTATTAGAAGTAATATTATTCCCAATATTTCCAATATTTTTGATATCTTTCTTTTTGACACCGATGAATCTTGATTCACGCTTACATATATTGCAATAATATGATATATGATTTTTGCGATGTTGATTTTTACTAGACGATGAAGAGGAGACTTGATCTTTGAACAAAAAATTGATCATTGTTGATTTAGAATTGTTTTTATCATTATCATTATCCGATTTCATATAAATTATTTGATGGTTTTTTTTTGATTTTCTTGGAAATTTAGAGATCGTTGTGACCTTAGAAACTTTAGTTGCTTTATCATTTTTATCATCATCATTATTAATGTTCTTATCATTATCTTTAATGTCATTATCATTGTCATTACCATAATTACCATCCACATTATCATTATCAATATCCATATTATCCTCATTATCTTTTTCATTAATACTATCGTTATTATATGTACTTCGTTTACTTGCTTTTCTTCTTTTTTTTTTTGTTGACTGTTCGATTCTAACTCGGCAATTAAGTCCAGGCAAAAAAATTGATCCACAATAACTACAATACTTATTTTTCACATTATCTGCAAGATTTATATTTTTTTCAATACTGTTTTGGTTAAATTTTTGCATGTAATAAGCTGATAAGTTTGGTACATTTGTTAGTAAGGTGTGTGACGCATTCCATAAAAATTTCAAATGTTTGGTTGTTTCTTGACTTGCCATTTTTTTTTTTTTAGAACGAAATAATTTTAGTGGTACAAAGTCTTTGGGACTTGTTTGTTATCCTTGAAAATGATTTTTGTTAACAAGTAAACTTTATTACACACTAAATCAGGAAGATCCAAATCCTCCCTATAGCTAATTGTGGCTTCATAGAAAGTCATCATTGCTGCTGCTGCCACCAGCTAGACATATCCTGCCACAGTTAAAATGGCAGCAGAGAGGTCAGTAAGTCCCCCTTATAAATGGATCAGGTCTCTCTCCATAAGTGTTTGTGTGCAAAAAAATGTTCCTTATGTTACAGGCAGCATTAACATCTCAATTCCAATGTGTCAGACAGACTGATTTGCAGACTCTGACAGACCAGAATTTTTGATGCTTATCAAACCACCCATCACACAAAGAACAGACTGAGGAAGTATGGAATTCATCAATGTTCGCCACCTTGCAGTGTCTAGAAAGCTCTCGGCGAAATTCTTTTACAGGGCCTGGAGCATGCCCACATGATGTTGATGAGAATTTACCATCACCAAATGCAACAACTGTACTGTCACCATTACTATTTGTTATTCTTTTGCACAGAATATCAAAGGCCTTCTGCTTATTAATAAAAGATTTCCATCGCAACTGACACCAGCAACACTCACCATAAAAATCAAGAATTATATCAAGGTAAAATAGAACATAAGCAAGGTAAGAGCCATATTCATAGACATTAGTGACACCAGAGGCTGGAATTTCTAGGTTTTGTATTAGTATTAGGTGAAAGGTATGTAAGTAATATTATTCAATGATATTCTTGTTTAACAGCAAATTAAATTAACAAAGTATAGCTCACCTTGAATAACAGCCTGAAGATATTTATTTTTTTCCAACCACAACTCATGTTTTTTATGAGCATGAACAAACACTGCTAAGTTCCAGTACTCCTTGGAACAACTCACAAATTTTTCATCCAAACTCACTGCTACAAACAGATCTTTTCTTCCAGGATCCAGTCCAAACACTTTGCATCCATTCAAATCAATATTTGATCCTTCTTCATCAACATCCATTTTATCATCATCAACTTTCTTCTGCAGACCAACTGATACTGCAAGACCATCAGTTTGTTACTCCTACTTTTTCAATTGATTTGTATATACATGTGATATAAAGCATCAGTATCAACTAATATGTACTTTTGTTGGAAGAGTATTCAGGTAGAAGTGTGAAGAGACAAAGACCACATTCCCAGTTATGCTTGGTAAAGGTGTGCAGGATTTTATGAAGATCTGAAAGATATGACCACCAGGATGCTTTTACAGATACATCATCAAGAGCTTGATTTTGAAATAATTTCTGTTGCACTTTCAAGTGAATATATTTAATGCAGGTAGTAATGTAAATTAGGTATTGTGGATGTGATGTAGAGAATTTATCAATAATATTTGAATGGAAGGAAGGGAGATCTCTATTTTTCGAGTTGGTAATGAAATGGTTTATAATGGAGTTGGTGTGTTTTTTGGGTAAAGGAAATTGATGATTCTTAAAATAATTTATATTTTATCCATCTTTTAAGTCGGTTGTCAAGATTTGTTGTTATGTGGTTCTGACATATTGCCATGCAGCAGAGGAGAGAAGTTGCCCTAATGATTTTTATTTGTCCAATTCATTCCTTGAGGTCAATATTGTGTGCAGAGGGTATCTCGAATATTATTTATGATGGGTTCTTTGATGGTGTCAGGGGTATTTTTGGTATTTAGTTACAGCTTGGAAACATTGCCTCATATACTTGGAAGTGCCTTCACTTGTGTTAAAAGGAAATTGATCATTAATGGTCACGTGATAAAAGTGCTGTTTGGTTAGCCAATCGAAAGCCTTCAATTCGAGTAATTCTTTCAACAGCACTTTGAGCAGCAGGCTCATGATCTTTATCTTTAAGGAATCCTCCAAGTCCAATTTTTACTGTGCATCGTTTGTATTTTGTGCCTTTTTCTTGAACAGATTTGGATGCATGGATGTTTTTGAAGTTTACAATGGTTGCTTGAAGAATATGAATTATCAGTCCCCTTACAAGTTGGACAAGGATGTTCTAGATATTTAAAAAAATATATTAAGTGCTATTCCTAAAAAAATAAAGGTGGATAAATTGTAAATATTTACTTGGTTTTTTTTTGTTGTTCTTTGTTTATGTCCTTGTTTGCTTTTCTTTTAGCTGCATTTTTAGAAAATTCTGCATATGGTATATCTGTTCTATATTAATATTTTTGCATTTTTTTGTGAGAATCTCTACTTTGTCATCACTGGGAGCTTTTCATTTGCTTGTATGTATTAACATTGAAATGATCAACTAAAACAGAATTGATAAAATCCTAATCAATGAAAAAAAATGTTTGAGAAAAAAGTTGTTTTTTTGGTTTAAAAATGTTCTCTTGATTTCTTATAATGGATGACGATATTGTTATTATTTGCCAAAGGAAATTGAAAGGAAATTGAAGAAATTTTTTTTGAAAAAATCACATCATTTATTTATTATAAGAAAAGTATCATTTATTATTAATTAATCAACAATTGAATTGGTTGTTATTTATTAGTTAAAAATGATAAAAAACATTTTTACTATTATTATCATTTATCCTGTTTTTTGGATTGTATCATTGATTTATTTATTACTAAAAATAAAACATGCATTTAATTAAATGACAATTGAAATTGATTATTTGTTTATCACTAAAAACAAAGTGTTGTAACTAATTGATTATTTGTTTACTTTTTAAGAAAAGCATCATGCATTTAATTAATCAATTTAATTAAATGACAATTGAGGGAGCAAAACTTTTAGAACTTTATTTATTGGACAAATTGGATAGAGAGGTGCCAGATCAAATACCAATAATGGATTATAACTTTATTCGAAAATTATTTCAAGCTGTTTCATGCAGAGAAGGATCTCATGATCCACAAAGAACATCTGGTTAATCATTAAATACATTATGTGATAATCATTATGCCAATCAAAGACCTCTGAACATGCAATGGATGTCAACATGTGAAATTGGGCAAATTATAAGTCTTTCTGCCAACCAATATCTCACTAATTGTCATAACCATGTATCCAGAAATATTCCACAATGACTTTGCAAATTCATCAATTTTCACCTCCATAACACACCTGAAATTTGTAATAAAATAAAAACATTAAAATTGGTTAATTTGATATATAAGGCACTGGTGTCCAAATGTGATCTTAATTTTAATATCAATAATGTTGGTGAATATATGAAGAACATAGAGAATGCATCACAACAATGTCTAAATTACATTTTGGAATTATATAATGAAGTTAAAAATTTTATTGGGACTTGGATCTTTCAGAGGATGCAATGGGTGTATGGTGCAAGTCACCTAGTCCCGCAACTTGCTGCGCCTCGTGGCCAATTTTGGGAAAAATCGTCAAAACTCAGAATTGTAAGTTGTGCTCAAAAATGCAATAAATTTTTATGTCACGTGACTTTTAATGGTGATACAAATTAAAAAAAATATTTATATTAATATATATATAATGTTATAACATTGCTAAAAAAAATTTTCCTTCATGTGAAGAAGCCAATGCTCCTGCGGAGAGCATTCTTTGAGAGCTTTGCCCTCAAAGAATTTTTGGACA